CTGTGGTTAAGCACTGTCTCCAACCTCAGGCCCCACAACTTGTCTAAGGCCTAAGAAATGCAAAACTCTTCTGGGAAAATACTTTGTTTTAAAATAAGTAAAAAGCTAAAGTCGTCAACAAGCATTAAGGACAGGCTGAACTGAGTCTCTTCAGACACTAAGTTCAAATCCTGGTGGCCAATATACAAAAGGGTTGAGGTTGTATGAATGCTCAGAAGTAGGCACCTTAAATCCCCTGTCTTCAGAGGAAGGAAGAGTTCCCAGTACACAATGTGAGCACTTCCCAAGGCTGGAGTGAACCCTACATCTGTGCTGCTAGCAGTGCACACATATCAGTAGGTCCACTGCCTAATGCCTCCAAATACTCTGGTATGAAGTGGCCATGAGGGGCTTCTGTCTTGCTCATCAGAACCATGGGCACCAAAAGCAAGGTACAAATATAAACTGAGAAAGAACTGTGCCTCTTGACGTCTTGCTAGAACATCATTTCTAGGAACTCTCATAGCATTTGGCTCATATTCTATATCTACAACTTGGACAATTATGCAACTGTTGACTTTAGAAGAATTAAGAATTACCTGTTCAGGAGCAGCATGGCAGTGAAGGATGAAGTTATATGGTATATTAGAAATGTTTTAAATAACTGGTTGTAGGACTGGAGAGATGGCTCAGCAGTTAAGAGAAGTGGCTGCTCTTGCAGAGACCCAGGTTTGAATCCCAGCACCCACATGGCAGTTAACAACTGTCTATAATTCCTGTTCCACAGGATCCAATGCCCTCTTCTGTTCCGTTCTCCATGGCCACTGTATAACACAAGTTCACTTACATACATTTGGCATAACACTCATACACATAAATAAAAATAAATAAATAATAAAAATAACCAGTTGAATTGTTCCCCAGAGCAGGGTAGGCTTCTAATCTCCCTTTAGAGTAGCAAAAGTTTCCAGGAAAATAACCAATAGTAAAACCAGTCATTCTCCTTTCTCTGTGCTCCTTCTGAACCCTGATACCTCCAACACTAAGGGAATAAAAAAGAAACTGTCAGTACTATCGGTCCAGGCTGTGAAGCAGCTCACTCATTGTAATAACAGAGAAGAGTAGACCAGGGCAGGGTAGGAAATCTATGTAATTCAAAAGGTGCTGACTGTTTTTTAAGTACTCCCCCAAAGACCTACCACTGACAACGTATTTTGCTTCCCATTGCCATCAGCACAACTGGACAGGGAAGAAAAAGGCTGACAATCCAAAATGAAGACTAGACTAAGAAGAGGAAGAGCAAAAGGAAGGGGAAGTGAAAGGAGCTGAGGGGAGGGGTTCAGGTATGGGAGACAATGCTGACCCCAGAAGCCATAAGCTATTAATCCCAGTGTTGGGTGTGGAATACCTCCACAGGAGTTCTTGGCCAGAAAGGCCCCTGAGGCTCCCAAACAATACAGGCTATTGCCATTCTTCTTGGTTGCATACCAGAACTGGATGATAAGATCCTGTTGCTGAAGACACCATGCACTTTGGTTGCAGGACCCAGAGAAAACAGGTTGCAGCTGAGTTGGAAGCTTCCTCCCTGCTGTCTAACCTTCATAGTGCAGGAAGCTGCTATGCAGACAAATAAGGGAACAAAGTCATCAAGTCTTGGATATAGCATGCTATGATACCAACTTACCAGAAAAGGTATGCCTACTGATTTAATAGTGGCACAGCTGTTATGAAGATAATCAGCTAATTCTGATTGACCTGAGGCCTACTACACAGGAGGGAGTTCATGCCCAGTACTGTACATCTGGGCAAAAGCCCATATCTAGACAGGTTATAGGCACTAGGTTTGAAACTATTATTTTTTTGTTTTACTAAATGGACATACTGCCAGACTTCTTCCTAAATATTTATGTTTATACCAACAGACTAGTGCTGCCCTCAGCCTTAATCAAAGAAGCTCGTATTTACAACAAACAGGAGTTAATGCAAGACTCATGGCTGCTCAAGGAGCTGAGAACAAGTGATTACTGAGTGCTCAGCCTTAAATGGGACACCCAAATCACCCCATCTAAAACTCAGGACACATCATGGAAGAGGAGGTAAACAGAATGTAAGAGCTGAAGAGGAGGACGGAAGTGAAATGCTGTCTTATGGGTATGACCAGGTCGTGGCACTCATGAACTCACAGCAGTTTCAGGGCCTGCAGAGTCTACCTAAGACTGAGTCCACTGACATTCAGTCATGGATAGGGTGGGGCTCATGGGGCCCAGTCTTGTCTAGAGGAGCTAATGGCAGTTTGAGGGCCAGTAGAGGGAGAGGAAGTCAAAGTCAGTCATAGTCATAGTCAATGGTGTATCCACTGGTGAGAAATACATGCTCCAGTGGACCACTCCTCACTCAGACAGTTGTGGTTAAACCCAGTGGGTCATAAAGCAGAACAAAAAGACATGAAAGTGGAATGGGGACTTTGTGGGCAGGGGTGGGGGGTGGTGGGGCTGGGAGAGGGATAAGAGAGGGTTGAGGATGAGTGTGACCGGAATGTATATTTGAAACTATCAACGAATAAGTTAATAATATAAAAGAGAAAGGGAGTGAAGGGAGGGGAATAAACACAGCAGATATTACAGTGGATAGGATAAGGCTTGAAGGGGACAGGATTTTACCCGTTTATACCTTCTGAACTGTGAAGCGTTAGGAAGTACAAAATAAGATAAAGTAAACTTACTAGTCAGCATGTGAATTCAGCAGCACCTGAGTTGAGATACAGACACTCAATAGCTCTTGAGTGATTAAGAGGGCTCAGGATGTTAACATATAAAACCAGAGTAGTAAAGACACTAACGAACCACAAGACGAGAAAAAGCAGAGCTGGGTGATCCACTGCCAAAATGCCACACATGACACAGAAACACAGCCCTGAGTTTCCCATCTGCAAATTTTCTTTTTGAAGTAAAATTACAATAATTATCTGCTTAACAACAGGTCACAATCAGCTGTGTGAAACATTAGGCTACTCACTAAAATCTTTAGACGACAAATATCAAAAGCCATCAACAACCCGATAAATGTTGCTATTTTTACCCTTGTGACTTATTTGGGTTTTCCTTTTTCACATAACATTTGATTCTGAAAACCTTCAAGGAAAAGGATGAACTGCTGAGAAAATTAAGGCCTTACAGAAAAACAGGAAAAGCTATTAAAAAATATTTTTAGATTCAAAAAATTAGCAATTAAAACAGCATGCTAAATTTAGACAATATCAATAACATTTTCCCCTTAAAATTGCAGTGTGGGTAAGCAAGTAATTTCATTCCTGTCATTTGCCTGTAAAAAAAATCTCAGAATCCTTTATTGGCCTTCACAGTTCATCCCTAAAAGGTTTAGTAATAGTGGTGATGCTCATAAATGTGTTCTGCTTGCAGACAATGAGCTATGATGTTTTCATAAGTCAACTGGCTAAATCACAGTGCTGTCACTGAACCAAACACTAACCTGGATACTCACCACTCTGTGTGTGACCCTCACTCTACTGTCCAATGTCTTAAGAGAAAATCTTAGGTTTCCAAAAGCAGTTCTGCCTAAAGATTACCGCATTATTCCTACTGGGAGTTTCTAGCCTGTGGGCCTGACTCACAGATTTCAGACCCCACAACTGCATGAGGTAATATCTTGAAATAAATCTCTTTTTTTACATGGTAGAAGTCAGTCTTTGATATATGAGAGCTTGTCTTAAAAACTGAAAACAACCTTTTCTGATTTAAGATCTCCACCTCTCTCAACCCCACCTACACATACCTCAGTTCTTACCTACCTCATGGAAATGATCAAATAGAATTCTTGCTGCTGAGTTTTTCAAATTTCCTTTCAACAATCTCTATATTTTTGCTTCCCTATTTCTGATCTTCAGGCCCTTCTACTAACTGGAAACAACAAAAGTAATTGAAAATAGGATGAAAATTCTCCTAACAAATTAGACACACATTCATATACACAAATCCCCAAAGAAGGAAAACTTCAGATTGCAAAGACTGTCTAAAATGTTCTAGTTCCTTAAGCATGCATTCCTAAAGGTCAGATATACTTTAAGGTTGGATTTTTGGTTCAGCAAGGAACTCAGAATTGGGTCTATACAATTAGCACTGCAATGGGAAATAAAGGTTAAAGGAAAAGTATAATTTCATTTACAAAAAGAGAATTCTAAACTCAGTGCATGTTTACTCTGAAATCTAAACATCCTTAAAAACGTAAAATATCTTCTTCAATGATAAAATGTAATTTTAGAGTGCTAGAAGAATTTCCTGTAAAGTGTTTCAGCAGTCCAATTTTTTTAATGTTAAACTTCAAAATTAAGACATTTGGGGCTGAAGAGATGGTTCAGTGATTACCATGTGCTGCTCTTCCAGAGGACCCAAGTTAGGTTCCCAGCACCCACACTGGACAGTTTGCAACTACCAGCAGCTCCATCTCTAAGGGCTCTGATGCCCTTTTTGGTACTCACACACACACATACCCACATACTAATACACATATAGGCATAATTTAAAAACAATTTTAAAAATTAATCTTTATGCCTGGCGTGGTGACATACGCCTTTAATCCCAGCACTTGGGAGGCAGAGGCAGGTGGATCTCTGTGAGTTCAAGGCCAGCCTGGTCTACATAGTAAGTTCCAGGACAGCTGGGGCTACAGGGAGACCCTGTCTCAAAAAGACAAAAAAAATTAATCTTTAAAAAAATTAAGACCAAAGTCAGGCATGGTGGCATATGCCTTTAATCCCAGCACTCAGGAAACAGAGGCAAGACAGATCTCTGTGAGATCCAAGCCAGCCTGGTCAACTTCTAGGCCAGCTGGAGCTACAGGGAGACCCTGTCTCAACAACAACAACAACAACAACAACAACAAAATTAAGACTGTTCAATACCCAAATACTCAACTGGGATCAATATTGAGTCACATAGCCTTAAAACTGCATCCGAACGTATAAAGAGAGGCAGTTTTCCAATACTTAACAGCTACATCCTTACCTCCCACATCAGACGGTAGTCCATGTTTTCATCCAGCTCTTCAGGCATTCGCTTCTCTCCAGCAAAGGGTCCAAACTTTTCTCCCTGTATAGCAATGATTAGATTGAAAAGCATTAGCATAATATAGCTACTAAAATAAACCACTTTATCTTGTGGAAGATTTTCATCAAAATCTTCATGTTTGGTTTTTGAGCTATTTTTTAAGTATTACCTACTTAAAACATTTTCATTTTTTTAAAAGTCCACTTTAATCTGTTTCAGTCTAAAAGCCTGAATCCATAACACAGAAGCCAACATAAAAGAGTTAAACTGCCTAACTTTCAAATCCTGAGAAGGCTCTGAAGACTGTGCTTCATATTTTTCAGTCTTCTTCATAGCCTCTGGCAAGTTTAAAATGAAAAGCACCAAGTTTTGCCTGACTTGAGAGACAAGCCCACCAGGAAGAACATCACCTGGTTTCCATAAAAATCGGAACTCCATCCATCCGTGTTTTGCACAAGAAAGAAGTAGGCTTGTCATTCTCAGAGGAAGGCTGTTCATAAATATAGTTTAAATTTGCCTGCCAATCCTTCAAACAGCCTGGTGGGCACATCTTATGTGTTTCTCAAAGTGTATGCTTTGAAGCCCACCCACCACATGAGAATCAGCAGAGCTACTTGTTTCAAATACTGAATCCTGCACTTCTTTAAAATCAGTATCTGGGAATGGAATGTAGGAAGTAGTATTCTGACAAGTACCAGGGTGAGAACCACAAGCACAGGCCTATAACCTGAAAGGCATAGATAAAGTCGATAAACATGACAGGGCTGGAGAGATGGCTCAGTGGTTAAGAATACTGACTGTTCTTGCAAAAGACCTGGCTTCGAATCCCAGCACCCACATGGCAGCTAACAACTGTGCATAACTCCAGTTCCAGGGGATCCAACCACCTCTTCTGTCCTCCGTGGGCATTGCACGACACGGGTGCACTTACCTACATGCAGGCAATACATGCATACACATAAAAATAATAATAATAATTGTCCTAGTTTGTTCTTCATTGCTGTGACAAAATACTCTGACCAATACCAACTTGGGGAGGAAAGGGTTTATTCGGCTTACATGTCCTAGGTCACAGTTCATCAGGGAGTCCAAGGTAGGAACTCAGGGCAGGAACCTGGAGGCAGGAGCTGGAGTACAGGCCATGGAGGAAT